TTCTCAACGTGGGAACTGAGTTAACTGCAAACCAATGTCAGAGTGTGTGTGTTTCAACCACTACGTCAAAATCAGATATGGAGCCATGCTTTGTAGATACTCTCCTCCGGAAAGCTGTTTCTGGCCCGCTCTCCACTCTGCCCCACTCCGCGCAAAGCGCCCTCTGCGCGCTTCTCCGCTCTCCAAGTGTCTGATCACCTCTCCCGTCGACTGCTTTCCTTAAAAGATGAAGCCGGCTTCCAGGAAGCCGCTAAAAAAACAATGAACATGCATGCCCCAACTTAGGGATGTTCTTCCACATATCTGTTCCAATCTGCTTGTGCCGAAGGTGGTTCACCGCAGCGTTTTCCACATAGGGAAGAATATGGAAGAATGACACATCACCTTCAATCAAAACCAGGTTTCCCTTCATCCACGGCGCCTGGCGCGCGATCTCTGCCTTCGCACGCTGAGCATGTGCGGCGCCCATGGTGGCCGTGAAGCCACCTAAAGGACCTGCCAGCTTGAAGGGGAAGTCCTCCCGTGCCTGCAGAGTGGCAGGACTTGATTCAGGGGATGGAAGTGATTCTTGGGTGCTTCGCGACCGCTGCGAAGCTGACGCTGTCTTTGGAAGGGGCAGCTGGGATGATGGTCCCTCCCGGAAGGGAAAGCAACTCTTACAAGTTCATCTGCTGTTGGATCATGCATGTGCATTTGACACCATGATGGACGCAAAACATGTTTTGGGGACCCCTAATTGGACCAGAGCGACCTGAACTGGTTGTGCTTGTGGACTCCCAGTGTTTTGCAAACAGTCCAGGCCGACTCCACCACCATGTCCTGTTTGCATCAGCCTTGGTTGATCCTCTCTTACCTTTGATGAAATCCCACCTGCATCAGCCAATCATGAAACAAACACACTACCAAATCATATCAAGCTCCTGCGATAAATGGCCTCAACCCTCCATTGACCCCTGGCCCCTCATTATTGACCCCAACACTCACCCATGGTTGTTTCTCAGCTTCACCTTCTCCCCAAAGTCTTCCAACCAAGCGGCACAAAAACACCAAATGGCTTACTTGGAGTTGCTCAAGGCACCTGGAAACATATTCGCCAATGACCAAAAGAGGCTTTAATGTTGGATCCTGATTAGTAAATGGTGCCTCTATAATGCTAAATTTTCCAAATTTATTTAGACCCCCCTGTTTGAAAAATGGTGCCTGTATAATGCTAATTTTTTTTGGGGCCCTAAATTTTTATAGTGGAAACCCAATAAAAGAGGCCAATGATTATGATTCATTAGCTGATATAGCTTTCTCTAGGCT